TCAAACTGTGTAAAGTCACTCATTCATAGTGAATCGACATAATCAGCAGGATTCACAAACCTGCATTCGTGACACTGGGAGAACAGAAATTATTTCCTACTTTCTCCCCTATCCCAGGGCCAAAATTTTACTTTGTGACAAGCAGCACTAACAAATTATTTAGTATCTATGGACTTTAAATTGCTTTAAAAAAAAAAAGAGACTAAGTATTATTATTCTCTTTAAAGAGTGTAGGACCAGGAGCACTGAAGTTGGTGACAGACACAAAAGTCAACTAAAAGAAAATACAAGACTTTGAAGTCCAAGCCCGTGCCACAAGGTTCAAAGTAGTTTATTTAAAATAAAAGCATGACCATATCACACAGACACGTCTTTGTCCAGAGGAAGAAAACAAACTGATCAAACCTATGGGGAAGGAAGGAATGCTGGGAATAATGTCATAGTGTGCCAAGCTGTAGATGGTGATAGAAGGAGAAGATATTAAATCAGAGTTATTAGTTTTTGAATTGCTTCTATTACGTGACTTGTAAAAAGACTGAAAGAAAAATACATTCAGTCTCCTGTGCTACTGAAGTACTGACTTTGGAAGACCAGAGAATTAACAGCCCCCAACTCTTTTTTCATTTTTTGTTACTATCAGCTTTCCTCCTCTGACTTCAAAAGCAGGGGAACCACTACCAAAATATAATTCAACATTCTATTATGCAGGCTGCTGAAAACAGGGAGAGGCTCAAAGCTACATATTAGAGCTCCGTTTCTGAAGTAAATTAACTCCTTGTGTCAGTGTCAAAGAGCCACTATCCTCACGAGTATCGTAACCAAGCCCAGGACCTCCAGGCTGAATGGCCCATTCTCCATGACTAAAGAAGCTAGATTCTTCCACCAAGGTGCTGTGACTTCATATTTTCTAACAATATGGTAATGGTACAGCTTTTAACTTTTATGTATTTTGCTTTCATCAGTGACCTACCATATTATCCATGTGGCAAAAGGCTCTGAAACTCAAGGAGAATAAAGCAGAACAATAATAATAGAGACAAGAAACATTCACATCTCAGTCAGAATTTATCCTGAAGGATAAATAGGAGTAAGTGAAGGATAAATAGGTATTTATGCTTTTTTTTTTTAAATTTTCAAGACAGGATCTACTTTACTATGACTAATAATCGCACAGCTACACGATTACCAGTGGTTCTCTGAATTGCATTATTGATAGGAAGCATTAATCTTCCCTCTAGAACAGGGCTCTTTCCTTGCCTTTAGTAAGATAAGGGCAAGTAAGGGGTTTTGTAGAGCTTGAGAAACATTTGGAGATACTTCTTATTTTCTGCATTAACTATTCCTAAATGTCCTTCAATTTTTGCTGATTATTTTCCTTTCCTTTGAATCAAAGGCAGGGTTTTGGTCTATATAAAACTTTTTTTTTTTTCTTCAAAGTACCAAGCCTAATTCTTTCCTCCTGTTAACTTGCCTTACACAGACATCACATCCACAGTTGTTCTGGTGTTACTGCTCAATTCACTCTTTTGAAAGCATGCAAAGAACCAAATCTAGTCACTTTAGCTGAAGAACAGGCTTTCCGTGCATCCAATACATGACAGTAAATGGATTCCTAAATGAGAAAAAAGCTACCCTTGTGCCACTTGTCCTCAAAAAGTACAAAGGAAAAAAGGCTAGGGGAAAAGAGAAGAAAACTGGGAAGACCACATGAGAACACAGTTCTACAGCACCATCTGAATACTATGATTGTCAGATCCTTTTGGGCAGACCCACTCTGGAAAGAAAGAGTCAGGAAATACATGGCATGCATACCTCTAGGCAGAGTACATCTAAGGGAGGATCCCATGCTGCTGTGCTGTGGCTCCTCTGGCTTCATGGGGGAGGTTGTGGGAGTGCAAGCAACTGAGAACAGTACGATGCAGTAAGCCACTATGCTGTCCTAGGCTGGAAAAGGAGGAGATGGCAAAGTAAGAGAGTTATGAACCAAAAATTCACAGAGGTAATGCCACAGAGGCAAAGATCAGCAATTTTTTTAACATCTTTTGTCAGGCTATATAGCCAGAACCCAGATTTCAGACAACAATTGCTTCCTCTTCTGTACTATTGCTAGACATGATTTAACAATGGACATATGCTTTCTATTTTCTGATGAAAATCTCCCCTTTCCAACAAAAATTACAACAATGCTCTAATAAACACTCCTGCAAAGGCTACCTAGGTGCATCCATGGCAATATGGATGGACTCCCAGCATGCGTGCCCGTGCACACATACAGAGCAGGACTACCATTTCAGAGCTAAGCAGGAAGACTTAAGGTCACAGATGCTCACATTAACCAAAGGTCAGAACAAGATATTTTAGGATGTAGACTTTTATTCTAAATATTTAGCACAGTGCCAATGAACAATGCAATGAGCCTTCATTTGCTTCCATGTAATGTTACAAAGAAGATATTTTTACTTACATGCCAACAGAAGAAGGTTTATATCCAGATTTTAAGCACGCAAAGGACCTGAGCCTACCTCAGTACTCGGGTAGGCTACTAGTATCCTACCTTTTGACTGTAGGGCTCGGAAAAGCCTCATATAACTGTCAAGAATTAAAGTGGACTTCATATAAATTTTGTAAAAACTAAAATACAATTCCATTACAAGAACTCCATTGAAAGTAATTTTATTTTAAAATCAGATTTCATTTGCATCACAAAACAGTTCACATTATTGCTAGAAGATAATGGCATCTTACAATAGACTAAAAAGATACAAACAAAAGCAAAACTAGACTACTTGTAAAACCATACTAGAAGAAACACAAAAGGTCAACATCACGCAGTCAAGCAAAAAGTACACTAACAACCAAATCAAATACAAATAACTTAAGATAGCATTCCAAATATATGAAAGGAATTTTTTTAAGAGAGATCAATTTGTCAGCATATAACCACTGCATTCAATAGGACTAGCACAGCTGATACCACCTGTAGTTCTCCCCCCACCTTTTTATTTCTCTGAACACACCCACTTGATACCCTTGTAATAGATTAATAAGCAGATAAAAACTTTACAGGTATTTTAAGTCATCTTGTTCCCGTTAAGCAAAACAGAACACCGAAGTGATTAGACACATTTGCTCCCAGCATAGTTAAACTGATATAGTTAGCTAATAGCAACTTCCACCATAACTGAACATTAACAGACTTCCACAATGAAAAATTACAAAGGATAGTTTTCCTCCATTGCTTTCTGAAGACCTCTTCAAAGAGCTTATCAAAGATAGAACAAGCATACTCTATCAATAATGTAATACAGCTATGCCTTACACTTAATCTGAATTTGTCCATAGTCCTTCCACCATGAAGTATTTTCATAGTTTCACAGAAAGCTCATGCTCCAGATTATTTTGTGGGCTTTTCCCTAAAACTTTACAGTGAAGAAAAGAAACTGGTGAAAAACATTTACTGTGTTCATTTGGGAATAAGGGTAGAGAGATTATTTTTTTCCCCAGCTACAGAATAAAATTATATCTTTAAAAAAAAAAATCAGAAGTTCTAAACTAATGTCATCAAAAAAGTAGGGTTACTGGCATCAAATGCATGTATGGGAAACACATCTCAATATTTTTTGCCAGCAACATCAACAGAAACAAAATGAGATGTCTTACTTTCTAGTTATTTTCCGGACTATTGAGTCAAAGAATGATTATACTTGTGTTACCTGTTGTACTATCACACTGACTAGCTTCTAAACACTTAAGACTGCACAGAACAGTCTGCAAAGCTATTTGGAGCCTGTCATCAGAATTTCTTGCATAAGCAGCCATTTGGGCATTAAATAAACTGCCATTTACAAGTAAATGTGCTCAATTTGCAGTGTGGGGATTACACAGTACCTCTTTAGTTACATGTACAGATTAATTAGGATAGCTGTCAGTCCTTGCATGGTGCCAGAGGCCCTTGGCCTGTAACACATGTCTTTTCAAACACTTCTATCTGTTTAAACAACACGCAATTTGTTCAAACAGGAACTGTATTAAAAATATCCTTTTCCCAGCAATTGGACTGATTCACATCACTAATGACTAGACAACATTGTTCTGCTTCTCAGTGATGCACTACTACTGCCACTGCCTAGGTCCTCTCTGAGCCAGTGGTTAACACTCTTATTGACCTTAATGGAAGGATGACTGACTGCCCCTTCAGTTGTTTTACACAGGCACTTAGTTAATCTCCTTTCTGTGGTATTTTTATGCGCTCCAATACTACATTCAAGGACATGCTTGGCATATGGTATGTAGTGGCTTATTTTCCCTCTCTTTCCTTCTAAGATAGGTCAGCAGAGTGTCAGAAGCCTGCAAGTAACTTGTGTCTGCCCCAAGCACATGCATGTAAAGCCAAAGACTCGATTCAGGTAAATCAGCAGTAAATTCACCAGGGTAAGTATCAGCTACTTTGGAATCTGTTCACCAATCATGAACTAACACGCTCTCACTAAATTTTGCTTTCAATGACGTTTGTGCTTCGGAATTGTTTTGCAATGTGGTCCATCAGAACTGCTCTTTTGATGGTCACATCATGAAAATGGGGAGATCTACAAAAAGGAGAAAAATAAAACAGGGTAAACATTGCAAAGATCAAAGGCAGGCTGTAAACTTGTTGAAATGGACTCAGCTGTCATTCATGTGTCAAGTTCATGCCTCCCTGCCTCCTCCCAACTCTGAGAAATGAAGCAGCGAAGCAGCAGTAAGGAAAACATATTCATCAACACAAGAAATGCAATACAGAGGGGAATAATAATACATCCGGAAGAAATAAGGTTTTCAGAAGTGACTACTGATTTAGATTCAACTGTTTCTGGGCATTCAGCTAGAGGTATTTTAAGCAGCAAAGATTTCAGGAAGTGCTGGACACACAAATATAAAAATGGCATTCTGGGAAAGACCTCGAATTAAGTGTCTAGCAATAGCAAAAGGATTAATTTAATTGGTTTTGGGGTTTTTTTTTTTTAATACATACCACTGCTATTAACACTCTGCTTGATCCAGTCAACAAAAACACCGACATTTGTGTATACTCCTGGGTAGCTCTTCCTTCCACATCCCAAGCCCCAGCTAGTGATTCCATGAAGGGTGTAAAATCCCGAGTTATCTTCTGAAGGACAAACTAACGGGCCACCAGAATCACCCTGCACAAGGACAAAGAAATCTTGTTAACATCACTCCTTATGTGTTTAAAATATCAGTTCAGCTATGAGAGGTCCCAGCTGCTCATGTGTTTGGGCATTTCTTTTTTTAAAAGCCAGAGAAAGAAATAACCTCTGTTCAAGGGAAGTACTCTTTTTGCAATAGGAGTAATTAAAATCCTATTAAGGAGTCTTTCACTGTAAATCACCTCCAGCCTGTTTGCAAGAAAACAGCTTGTAATGAGGTTTTAACGCTCCCCTTTTTCAGAACCCACCTGCCCATACCCCAAGCATCAGAAGGCAAAGGTGGTGTGCGCAACTTACTGTGCATGAGTCCTTGCCTTCTTCCAGAGGGAATCCAGCACAGATCATCCGCTGGGTCACTTTACTGGGAAGATTTATGTAATAGCTCTGACATGTGTCAAGCACCAGGATGGGGACTTCCAGCTGGTGCAGTTTTTTCGCCTTTTCTCTGTCTTGAAGTAAAAGACATCTCAGAAAACAGAGGCATGTATTAGTGATTCCAGAAAGAAGCTTTACTCTTCCCCTTTTCAAACGGTCTCAATCTAAATTATCTGATTTCTTTCCTCCCACCCATTTCCTTGCATCTCTAGGTGAGCTTACACAAGTGAAAACTTTTAGCACATCTGTTCTCCAGAAACTAATGTATAGACAGAATGAATGTTACAACACAGAACATAGTATTTAAAACACAGTTATAGCATGCTCAACCTTCAAAATAGCAAAGACCGCATACCTTCTTCATGTGCACCCCATCCTGTGACAATGCACACCCTCGAGGGCTCAATCACCTCCTCCTTGGCAGGGAGACACACTGGGCGCACATAGTGGTTGAATTCCAAGGGCTCGGCCAGTTGCAATAAGGCAATATCAGAGTCCATAGTGGTCTTGTTAAAACTTGGATGTATAATATACTGCTTTACTGACCTTTTCTAGGAAAGCAAGGACATTGACATTTTCTGAGTGACTTGGGAATTTGAGTCTTTAAGTAACTTTGGTTTTATAAATTTTCAGGCCATATGCAAGATGCCTTAAGACGAAGAAACATTTAAAAGCAGCTGCTAAAGCCACCAGCTTTCTTATATTAACAAGTCAAGATTATGCCTCTTGAACATGGATCAGGAAACATGCAGGAAACTCCATCCAGCAAGTGTAGGAAGAGGGTCTTGGAAAAACATTTGTCCAGTCTGAGCAAAGTGGCAAGTTCTGCCCCAGTTACTTCTGTCATGGTAATAGTCACCAGAGAATTTAGAGACAATACACTCCTCACTCACACATCTTCCAGGACACCGAACTTTGGAGTTCACTAGGATGAAGGCACAGATCTGTGCTGATACAATTTCTCTGACAGTCACACAAAAGCTGTTGTGTAAAAGCAGATTAAGGTCAGCATGCAGGTTGTTAGACTGCTGCATCATGAACAATCTGGAAGATGTATTTACATTAAAAACTATTCTATAAGACTGATTTATATTTTATTATTAAGCAGTACTTATAGTACCTGTCTGTATTCTTGCTCTCCAAGATCATGAAGTCCCGTTACCACCATCCATAAGTCTCTGTATAGTTCCCTTAAAACAAATAAACAAAAAAGTACATTCTCAGGCTGGTATAACCGCATTCTTGAAACTTGTGTATCTTAAAACCTCTCCCACCCAAAACAGTTACTCGGGCCTTACACATTCCTGGGCCAACAGCTCCTGAGGCCCATACTCCCATACAAATCTACAGAAATCTTCCCACTGACTTCTAGGGAGCATGAAATATTCTCATGATGAGGCAGTAGGACCTCTCAAAGACAGCAAACAGAGAAAGGTCACTTCTATAAGGACTGGGGGTGCCTGATGCAGAACACAAGGCCTGCATGGTCCACATCATCCAAGGACAGTGCTGGTCCCTACCTTCTTAATGAAAAAATGGATGACCTCTAAAACATTACTACCTATCAAATGATATAAAATAAATGCAACAGAAACATTTCATTTCACCCTTTGGTTTCTTAACCAAACCCTCTCACTGCCTGAAAACCTGTTGTAACTCCCGGATGAAATTAGTTGTGTAGAATTATTAAACCACGTATGCAAATTCTGATGTGATGGCAATGTGCAATAGAGAATTCCTTCTTAATATGGCACTTAAAACAGTACTTTCACCACAGTGCAACAATGTTCCTGACATAAAATTTTGCAAACTAACATTTAGAAACTTAGAAGCCAAAGTCCAAAATTCAAAACAGCACTTGCATTTCAGATCCCCAGTTTTGAGGGGGTGGGGAAGAGAATCAAAGAAATGGAGAATATAAATGTCTAAGCATCTTTGGTATTTGAGGCTTTTGAACGCTTACCCCTCATTTTCAAGTAATTGCAACTTTATTTGAAAACAGGCCAGAATACCTTATTATCAGCAATCCTGTAAAGTATTTTTTAAAAATACTTTAATGACCCAATGTATGTGAATTTTAAATTAATGTATTTGTGATTAATTTGAACTTCAAAACAGGTAGTGTTCAGCCTAAGAGATGAATAAACAAGTTGCAGTTTAGAAAGTATTTTAGAGTCTGAAAGTCACACAGACCATCCTTTTGTCTCCTCTCAATAAAGACAGAAAAATGTCCATGTAATCTAACAGACTGATAGGTTCTTAATAAGGGAATTGCATTAACCCTGTGCACAAAAGCCTCCTGTATGCCCTCCAAAATCTACACAAATTCAGTAATTCTGAAATCTTTTGATAGGTTGATTCTACCTGGATGAGAACATGCTCTGTAAATGACCCAAGCACAAAGAAGTTACCTAAGAGTAAGTGATGGATGACAAGGGAATTAGTATCTTGTCATCTCTTCTGAAAACTGATCTGAATGAAAACCAAGCCTACAGAAGTAGGCTACTTACTTCCTTAGTAGCCACTGTGATCCTAGTACATGTGTGTGGAGCAAAAGAATCCAGTTCCAGTGTGAGCTGTAAGTAGGTGGTAACCGAAACTGTGCCAGCCACCGTGGGCAGAACCACCACACTGCAAAGACGCGCCACGAAATTACAGACGTTCCCAGGGAAGGGTTCATCCCAGTGTACTTACTTAGAATTAAAGCAGTGAGCAGCTGTGACAACCCATTCTTTGGCAAGAACTGCTCCTCCACAGATATGCTCATCTGAAATTTGTACACTGACCTGCCAAGGCCATGAGTATGGTACAGCTTCTTCACCTCCAATTATCCTACTGAAGATGAACCTGGGCTGATTTGAAGGCATTCCACAAATACCATCTGAAACAGAAAGCATTAATGTCTCAAGAATTCTTTAGAGGTTAAGATTTGGAGAAGCAAAGAATACTCCATCTAAGAGCTACCCCACAGCTCCTCAAGATTCCCCCGTCCCCTTTTTTGCTAAATCTTCCAACTTCCCTCATTACAAAGGATCCAAATGTTTAGAGGTAGCATGAGGAGATGATCTTAGCAGAAACAGAGCTTCACCAAGATGAAAGCAACTGCTTACCTTCAAAAGTTTTAGCCTCAAACCTACAATGAATAGGGACTCATCCCATTCTCCATGAAGTACTGGAGGGAAAAAGGGAAGTTCTAAAATGTTGCTTATTATTTTCAACTACCCTCTACTCTGCAATTATTTTCACCAAGGCAAGTAGGTGTAAGCTGACATACAAGTTGAAATAATGTCATTGCACTGCTGTAAATGACTTCACAAGATGAAGGAAACAAGAAAAAATAGGTTCTGCTATTCTAAAGCCAAGGCATAGAAGTATTACTATTCATCTTTTTATTTCCTCAAAATATCTGGACGAAAAAATCCAGGATAACTGCATCCATTAAATATTTGGAGACAACACCATTTAAATTACAGTCCAAAAGGTACTCCCCATTCCCATGAAGAAAATATAACTCAGGTTGGCTTACCTGTTGTAACCTGTATTTCTTCTTCAGTCGTATCCGTATCTTCAAATTCTTCTTCACTAGTTGAATCTAAAGTATCTAAATCTAGCAAATTAAAATAACAAATGTGTTAGCAGGCTGTCTCAAGTGATATTTTTATTACAAAATCACTTTTATTTCTTTTATTATAATTTCTGTAGAAGGAACAGATTTCTACAGTAGGGATCTGTGCTATTACATCGCCACATGGTAGTAAAGTGCCATTTAAAATGCACCAAAATACTCTTACACAAAATAAAACTCTGAAGGTTTGGGTAGATTCATTGTTTCTCTTCACCCACTCAACAGGCCCTTTGTTTAATGCCTCAGTAGGTTCACAATACAGTTTTTTCACTGAGACAATTTGTTAGATGAGAATCTCCTAGAGCAAAATAATTCTGAATAGCCAGATTCACTGAAGAACCAACCCATTGTGGTGCCCCAAAGAGGCAACTTCCCAAGTTACTTCTATTTACCTGTTACATGAACAAAAGAGATTGTAGCTCTGAACCCTCCAAAGGTTTCTGTTTCATCAGAGTGAAAGACAACCAGCATCATAGCAGAGGAGCTTAGAACAGGTGCGGGTAGGGCAAATCCACAAGACTTAGCTAAAGATGAGAAAGCAAAGGTTCACTGCAGATTAATGCGTACTGTTTCATCCTTTTCTCTTTAAACAGTGAGTACCCAATATTCTGTGCATTCCAGCTCTCACACAGGAGGGTAAAAAAATAACTAGGCACAAGAGAGGAGTAGAGATAAGCCAACTGAGGCTTATGTTCTATTATTGCTGACAGTCTGTCCTTGTTCAGTAATTATCGCAGAAGAACAAGGAGACTCTTGCATTACTTCACAAGTCTATTGCAGCACTCATGCTCACAGGTTGCCATTGCATATAGAACACACTGGAAACCTGATTTCCCCTTGTTAGTGTTTCAGCACTAGCATCAAGCAAGTGCTGAGATCAGCTGATTGGGACAGGTCTTCCTCTCATTCAATGTAAGCCAGAGGAATCTCCAGCAAGGTGGCAAGAATTGTATGAATGCTCATGGGGAGTGAAGAAAAATTGGACTCTGAAAAGGAGACCTCTCGAGTGCTTTCTGTGTCTGATCATTACCATAAACACAAATTATTGTGTTATGCCCTTTTCTTCATTTGCATTAATTCAGTGCTGTATTTCATATAGAATTTAAATACACAAAACTGTTCTGTTCAAACTGGTTTTGCCTCTGTAAGTGGAACAGAAGCAGCAATACCTGCAAGTATTTTTCAAGGTACTGAAACTAGTACCTATTTAGACTGTAAAACTGGGCTAGTGAGAGTCACAAAAGAAACAGGTCATCCCCAAAATACATCAAAAATCAAAAGTCAAACCAATTTCCTCTTCTTTTCCTACATCTTCATACACAGTCACAGCATCATAAGAGCAATCTTCACTCTCTTCTACTTCAAAAGACTGGTACGTAAGCTTAAATAAAAAATGAAAAAGTGAACTTTGTTGTTAAATTCACACAGAAAAAATTCTAAGATATATAATAAGGTCTTTCATATTCTCAATGATTCCTTTAGGGTCTGGTTTCTGTGACATTCAGACCTCTTGCAGGCGATACATAACATATTACATTTGCTAGAAGAATCTGTCATAAAATTTAAACCAGGAAATCTTATTTTACTATAACCTAAAGGAGAAATCAAAACAGATCTGGCTTTTGGGATGGAAAATGATTTCTCTTAACTGCATCCAGCAGCATTATTCAAGCTTATGTTGCTTGATCTTGCTTGTCTTTAGCTGTGTAATTTCTTGTTAACTCAATGGTGCCCACTTCCATTCTGTAGACACAAGAGGGGCTCACATTTTACCTTGACTACATGGTCCTCTGGTGCACAAATAATCCACTGACAGTCTGCCATGTTGCTGTAGCGCTCTGGATAGTGCATACTTTGTAACACTCCTTCTTCAAAAAGGACAGCTAAGGACTCACAGCCAGAATCTGGAAATCCAGGAAAACAAAAATGGAGGCACTGTGATTTCCTATTAAGTCATTCACAAAAAAAAATTTAAATCCAGAAAAACTCTTGTGGAGCTTTCACACAGCTGAGAAAGAGAACAGGACAAGAGCAGCAAGACAAATCCTTCTGTTTGAAAAAGATGCAAAGAAAATTTTTAATCTGTTCCCAGGCAGAAGAGCAATTCAACCCATGACTATAACATTCCCCTTTGGCTACAGGCAGTGCACTCCAGGCACAGGTACCTGTGTGGGGTGAGAGAAGAGCAGGACACGGGAGAAGAGGAGGCTGAGGGGTGACCTTATCGCTCGCTACAACTACCTGAAAGGAGGTTGTAGTGAGGTGGGTGTTGGTCTCTTCTCCCAAGTAGTTAGCAATAGGACAAGAGGAAATGGGCTCAAGCTGCGCCAGGGGAGATTTAGATTGAACATTAGGAAAAATTTCTTCACACAGAAAGGGTAGTCAAGCATTGGAACAGGCTGCCCAGAGAGGTGGTGTAGTCACCATCCCTGCAAGCATTCAAAAAACAGGTAGACGTGGCACTTTGGGACATGGTTTAGTCTAAGTCTACTCTTGATTGGTTTAGTGTGGACTTGGTAGTGTTACATTAATGGTTGGACTGGATGATCTTAAAGGTCTTTTCCAACCTAAACGATTCTATGATTCTATGTCAGAGGAACATTTGCCAGCTTTCTTTGGAGACCAAAGTGGAGACATAAAACACAGCCAGACTACATGTGTTCCTGATGGGCTATGCAGTGGCAAGGCCCGCCAGAGGGGATTCCTCTCTACACTCTGCCGTTACACTCTGCAAAGGAAAGAAACTAGCTGGAAAAGCTGCAGAAACAGGAACAACAGGTGTCTGTCTAATTGGATTGCCCACACTCAGCAGATGGCCCTTGGGCCTGCTCCCTAGTGATGGTGAACCACTCTTCACAACAAAACTAAAGTAATTCTCCACAACATGTATCTTAGCATTAGCTGCCTCCCTCAGGGCTCCTCCATGACAGCATGCTTAGAACTAGCAAAGCAGCTTTTATCTGGAAATTCTGCTCATTTGACTAATCTTATTAATTGAGTTTTAAAACATTTCGGAAGTAGGGAAGGAAATGAGATCTTGTATAAAATGGATGGAGAAGAGGCAAAGTTAAAGAGCTCCTCTCAACAGCCTCTATCCTACCTCTTTTGGCATCCAAGTTTCTCCACTATGTCACACGGCAGCCTAACCACACTTACCTTGTTCACAATATCATCCACATAGAAATATCACAGGAGCTTCCTCCGATTTATTTTCTCCTGAAATTTTTTTCAGGTCACCACCCAGGAATGCAGACAGGTATATTACTAGACTTAGACTCACCAGGAAGAATATCTGGTGTAAGAGCTTTGTAGGTCATGGAAAAACCAGTTCCATAATCCTTGTTGTCAGAAACAAATTTCAGCCTTATACTATTGGAGCCAATCAAAATAGGTAATGGAAGATCTCCTCCACAGAATTTCCCTGAAAAATAATATTAGAGAATAATCACTGTTTAAAGTCGTTAGCCACTTGAGAAAACATGCATGTACCATTCTTAGTACTTAGCTATAAAAATTTTAGGATGAAAAGGAAATTGCCTATTCATTTCTCTACATTCCCTATTAATCCATTAGTACAAATAGATGCACACTATTAAAAATTGAAAATCCTTGACAACAGAAAGTTGTATGCTGACACAGTTCCCCACCAGGAATTTTCTATTCTTTTCTCCTCCCACACTCTTTGTCTTTTATTTTAGATCATATGTCACAATGTATTCATCATGAAAATGTAAGTAAAACAGAATCAACAGCAATGTCCTCATTGGGTGTACCTGCTGTTAGATTGAAAGAGTACACTGACAAATTATTTCAGAGAATAAGGGGACAGCAACTCACCAACAAGCCTGTCGTCTTTTGAATAGACTGATAAAGAATCATAGTCACAAAATGTTTCTGGCTCTATATCAAAGTGGGAAAAACGAAGCAATATATAATTCCCTTCTGGTACAAATAGAGTCCATACACACAATCTGGAACAACAAATTAGTTCCCATTCACGAAACTGCAGCAAAAACACAACTACACCAGTACGGGCAAGAGTTTCTAGGGAAAGACTGTGTTTTATCCACTTACTGGTGGTTTTGATAGAACTGTTTGGGACTTCCAGGAAAATGTAATTCTCCTTCACTGTCAGGGAGTTTGCCATCCTGAATGCTACAAAATGCTGCATTGTAGAGTTAAACAAAATAGAAGGAATCAGGTTTGACACATACGCAATTATCTGTTCCACCAAAAAGCTCAAACATTAGAGAATATTGTGAGACTCAAGATTGCTCAGCTGTACCTTGTTTTTGCTGGCAGACTGATGCTGGGTCTTCTCTCTTATTTGGTATTATGTTAAGTCAGTTTTAAAACACAATTTGGGAGCAAAAGTGAAGCACTGCCAACATGCTATCATATTTTATTGTAAAAGTGGCAGTACTTGCTTTTTACCTCAAAGAAACTACTTGTTAAACGAGGATTTTGGTGTAAATATTTTTCAGGGAGGAAAAATGCATACCTCAGGACCTAAGAAAATTGTTCATTGCAGCCCATTTGTAATAACATCCTTAGGTATGCTACAGCAGGAGACTTTTGAGAGAGTACGATACGGTATTATGGACAGTTCAATAAAAGCAGCAGAAACTTTCCTCTCCAGGTAAGTGTCGCTAGAAACACAATTATGTACAAAAATTATCTCCTCTTGCCTTTCCTTCTCCTTGCAAGGTAAGCCAGTAAGACATTTATCAACAACTATGTATATGAAAACAAATTTAAGGAGTCATGTACTTATAAGATTATCTTACCTGAAGCGCTCTAGGAAGACCAGTAACAAATTCAAAAAAGACACAAACAGCACTTAAATACCCAATTCTCACTGGCCACAGCAAGTCTATACAAACTGACCGTGTGCCCAAGCTCGTTTATCATCTAAGAAATCTCATTCTAGATTACTAAAATTAAAATTTTACGATCTAGTTCACAAGAGTTGTTTCTAGTATGTTTATATGAACTTGTACCTAGATGAACAGTGTCCAACAAGAACATAACATGGCAGAATCAAAGACTTCAATTTTAAAATGTTACATTTGGGGTTAGATTTCTTTTTTTTTTTTTTTTTGCATTTTATTCATAGAAATAGACATCAGACAAGTAGATAGATTCATCATAGACTGCACAAAAGTACTACTAATTTACCTCATACTTTCTATTTAGAATCTGTATTTTTATACAGAATCAACCTCACTGACTACATTTCATGCATTGCTTGAGGTTCTGTTCTAAATTTTTGCTGTTAATTTTATTTGCATTTCAATAAAAATATGGCTTTATATATGTAGCTGCCTTAAGGAGAATTCCTTTTTGAAGTCACCAGTACATAAGTACAACCCTACATAAGTAGGTTGTGGGTTTTGTTTTTTTTTTTTTAACAGAACCAGGAGGAAAAGAAGTAAGAAAAAAAGTATATATTTAAAGTATACATTTAAAAGTGCTTTGATGAGTTAAGCTTCTTCATGTTTGTTCCTTCATAGATTATACATTGGACTATTTTGGGGGTCTTTTTATGCTCTAACACAGATAGAAGATACTGAAAAAACACTGTACTCACCTGTGGAGCTTTTCATTTTCAGATCTAATAAAGGAGGGATAGGGAAGGGGATGGAAAAAGAAGAATAAATTACTGTAGTTTCATATTCATGATATAGACTTTATTTTTATCCACGTGAAATGGTGATTTTAAACAGCTAGCACTGAGGCAAATTCAAATGCTTCTTAGGGACATAGTACCTACAATAAACTAGGCTTAGAATTAAAACAAAATTGTGAGTTCAGGCCATGCTGACTTTGGAATAAACAATTCTGGAGTAGCCACTTCTAGAATTAATAAAACGTTGACAGGCTACTGCTCAGTCTGAGCAGCACAATACTCTCTTTCTACATACTTGTACAGTAAATACTATTCATTTCAGGTTAGGGTAGCAGAATCCAACAGCTAGCATCACCTCAGGGACACAGAGACATTAAGCCTGACAGCAATTACAGTTAAGATCTTTTGCACCAGTGTGACAGTATAAAAGAACGACTGAGCAAGCAAAGCTTAGTGCAATGCAATTGATAATTGTGTTTTCAATTTACCTACACCGAATTGCTTTTTCTGTTTACTGGAGCCAACACGCTTTAATTACCACAATAGCTAATCATATTATCTTTTCCTGATAATAAAATGGGCCAACAGTAAATTTTTATTAAAAAGACCCTGTCTCTCTCTTTTTTTTTTTTTCTTTTAATTGAAAACCAAAATATTTTTCAGAAGCTAAACCCTTTTCATTTTTCTCTGACATTATGGGGTTTTCTTTTTCCAATCACCAGTTGAGGCTGGTTTCTAATGGGAAAGTTATTTTTTTCCCCTTGCAAGTTTTTTCTTTATCATTGACTAGCAAAACCTCTTAAACAGCCCTCCTCAATTTTTCAGTTCTCTGCGTAAATTCTAACACAGTCTCCAATACATTTTCATGAAAATAGCCCAAACTGGAAGAAAATATTAATTCAGTTTCTTAATGCTCTGAGTGAAGTTCACCCCTGGACAGACTGTCATTTATATCTCCAGCTCCATGACTTTGGAAGTAATAGATAATTTTCATGCTGTTTCCCTGCACAGAGGGCATATGTAGACTTTTGGGCAGAGTAAGCAAAGACACTTTGAGCACATGACTTTTCCCCATGTAGTCAAATGTCTGATCCAACACGTTTTAGCTGGGAAAAATGACAAGTAACTTCAAAGAGCTGTGTATGGAATTTCAGACACTTCCAACAGTGAATTTCCACTTAAAATAAAAATACCAGGCTAACTGGCCAACTGGATAAAAGGGCCAATCTTAAAGTTAAAAAAACCCAACCAAACAAAAAAAAAAACCCAACACAAAACAAAACCAAAAAACCAAACATATATACACAGACACACACACATATATAGGTCAAGTAAGAGACAAAGGGGAAGAGAAGCAAATATTTACAATGCTGTCAATTCATTTTTGGCAACTGCCAATCAGTACCATATACTTAAAGGCATTGTGAAATGCTATAGTGCTTTGCCACGAAAAATGGGGCAAAATATAAGTGTCATGTCTTGAAAAAGATAAAATTAAATGAAGTATTATTATGAGACAGAAGAGTTCTCAAAAGTGAGGCACAAATAACTGCAGAGGCTTAATAATTTTTTTTTAATATTAAATTAATTT